AGGATGGGAATGTGGAGTGGAATCCTTCCTGGATCAGATCAGATTGGATCAGATGGGATCCCTCGTGCTCCTGAGGGCCTCCCTGAAACTTCCCAAGGATGGGATGTCCCTGGATCAGATTAAATCAGATCCCTCGTGCCCCCGAGGGGCTCTGCAGTGTCAGCACCTTCTGTGGTCGCTCCTGCACTCCAGGAGTGTTTCCCAAAGTGTCCTTTGGGTGATTCCAGGCACATCCTGGAGAGCTGTGGGTGACAGGGGTGGCTGCCTGCCCAACCTGCAGGAAGCAGCAGAGGTTTCCTAGGAGCCCAGCCCAGCTCTGTTCCCTCCTCAGCTCTGTGTCCAAATCCTTGGGATGCCTTTTTTCCAGAGGGCAAGGATCCAGCCAGGCAGAGGGGACACGGTTGTGTCCCATGGATCCCATTCCAGATCCCCATCCTGGGTTTGGAAACTCTCCTGCATGCCCTGGGAATGAGGAACTCTCCCAAATTCCCAAATCCACACACACACAGCTCCATTCTTCCAGCTCCAGGGATCACCATTCCAGGGAGTGAACCCCTGACTCCAGGGATCTCCTTAAACCCAGAAGCATCCAGACATGGCCCCGGTGTGCTCCTGATCCCTAGGAATCCAGGAATGTCACAGCCCTGTCCCCATTCCCTTCCCAAGGAGCTGAGGGGAGGGAGCTGTGTCTGTGGGGAGTTTTATCTCCTTCCTGAGCCAGCCAGACCTGCTGCCTTGCCGTGGTTTCTTTTCCAGCAGCTGGGAATCTCCTCCTCCTCTCCAGGCATCAGCACAAATCCCAGCAGAAATCAGCACAAATCCCAGCAGAAATCAGCACAAATCCCAGCAGAAATCAGCACAAATCCCGATAGAAATCAGCACAAATCCCGATAGAAATCAGCACAAATCCCGATAGAAATCAGCACAAATCCCAGCAGAAATCAGCACAAATCCCGACAGAAATCAGCACAAATCCCAGCCTGGTGCAGTTTCCCCTCTCTGCCGTTGCCCTGGGATTGTTTTTTTGGTTTTGTTTTTGTTTTTAAGGGAATGGGGATGGATTTAATTAGACATTCCAATTAATGTGGAGGTGACCAGCAAGGAGCCACGGGTGTGATGAGCTGAGCCAGGGCTCAGCCAGGACATTCCCACCTCCTTCCACCCCTCGGCTTCGCGCGATCCCTCGCTCTGCCTGCGCTCCCTCCCTGCTGCCTCTGCTCCTCTGCTGCCAAACCCCACTTGTTCTTCCCTTCCTCCTCCTCCTCCTCCTCCTCCTCCTCCTCCTGCTGCCCTGGGAGCAGCCATCCCAATCCAAATCCCAATCCCAACCCCGCTTGCTGACGCTGACCCCGTCTTCTTCTTTCCAGCCCCTGTCACGTCTGCCAGGGACGCCCGAGCCTGGAGCGGCCCTTAGGCTGCGGGGTAAGTCCCGTTTTTTTGCTCAATATATTGCACGTTTTTTCAAAGTTTCTTTTTTGTTTCCTCTTTGAGATCATCTGTTTTTTTCCCCGCCCGGCTAAAAAGGGTCGAAAAACTTTTTGAAAACTTTGAAAAACCGCACAGTATATTCAGAAAAAAGGGACTTACCGGGAGCGGCGCGTGGCAAAAGGGGGCTGTGCTGCATGCGGGGCTCGGGGAGGGGATAAATTTGGGAAATTCCCTGCTCCAGAGGGTCCGGTGGGAGGAGCATGGATGGATCCTGACTGCCCCTTTTCCCTCCCCAGGCCAGCAGCAGCTGACGGTGCAGAACGTGTCCGGCAACAACGTGACCATCAGCGGGCTGAGCCCCACGCAGATCCAGCTGCAGATGGAGCAGGCGTTATCCGGGGACAGCATCCAGCCCGGAGAGAAGAGGAGGAGGATGGCCTGCACCTGTCCCAACTGCAAGGACGGCGACAAGCGGTGAGTTCGGGAAGTGGGAAGGGCTTATCCCTCTGGATCCGCCTCTTGCGGAATAACCCCTAATCCCGCCTGGATCCGCCTTTCCTGGAGCGGTTCATCCCTCTGGATCTGCCTTTCCTGGAGCAGCTCATCCCTCTGGATACTCTGTCCTGGTCTAACCCCTCATCCCTCAGGGTCCTCTCCTGGTCTAACCCCTAATCCCCCTGGATCCTCTCCCAGGCTGATCCCCCTGGATCCTCTGCCGGGCTGGTCCCTCGTCCCTCTGGATCCTCGCCTGGTTTAACCCCTCATCCCTTTGGATCCTCTCCCAGGCTGATCCCTCTGGATCCTATCCCGGGCTAACCCCTCATCCCTCTGGATCCCCTCCCAGGCTGACTCCTCATCCCTCTGGATCCTCTCCCAGGCTGATCCATCTGGATCCTCTTCCAAGCTAACCCCTCATCCCTCTGGATCCTTTCCCGGGCTAACCCCTCATCCCTCAGGATCCCCGCCTGGGCTAACCCCTCATCCCTTTGGTTCCTCTCTCCCCTCATCCCTCTGGATCCTATCCCGGGCTGACCCTTCATCCCCCTGGATCCCCTCCCGGGCTGATCCATCTGGATCCCCTCCCAGGCTGACTCCTCATCCCCCTGGATCCCCTCCCAGGCTGATCCATCTGGATCCTTTCCCGGACTGACCCCTCATCCCTCAGGATCCTCGCCTGGGCTAACCCCTCATCCCTTTGGTTCCTCTCTCCCCTCATCCCTCTGGATCCCCTCCCGGGCTGATCCCTCTGGATCCCCTCCCAGGCTGACTCCTCATCCCCCTGGATCCCCTCCCAGGCTGACTCCTCATCCCCCTGGATCCCCTCCCAGGCTGATCCCCCTGGATCCCCTCCCAGGCTGATCCCCCTGGATCCCCTCCCAGGCTGATCCCCCTGGATCCCCTCCCAGGCTGATGCCTCTGGATCTCCTCCCAGGCTGACTCCTCATCCCCCTGGATCCCCTCCCAGGCTGATCCCCCTGGATCCCCTCCCAGGCTGACTCCTCATCCCTCAGGATCCTCACCTGGTTTAACCCCTCATCCCTTTGGATGCTCTCCCAGGCTGATCTCTCTAGATCCTCTCCCAGGCTGATCTCTCTGGATCCCCTCGCAGGCTGACTCCTCATCCCTCTGGATCCTATCCCGGGCTAACCCCTCATCCCAGGCCTGTATCCTCTCCCTGACCCCTCCTCTCCCCGCAGGCCGGGCGATGCCGGGAAGAAGAAGCACATCTGCCACATCCCCGAGTGCGGGCGGACGTTCCGCAAGACGTCTCTGCTGCGGGCGCACGTGCGGCTGCACACGGGCGAGCGGCCCTTCGTGTGCAACTGGGTGTTCTGCGGCAAGCGCTTCACGCGCTCCGACGAGCTGCAGCGGCACGCGCGCACGCACACAGGTCTGCCCTGTGCCCCGAGCGGCCCGGCTCAAAGAGCTCCGGGGTGTCCCGGGGTATCCCCCCATGCCCAAGGCAG